GCACTGTGTCACTGCTAGGGGAGAGCTGAGAACCTTTGACTCCAACCTGGGCTCCTCCACCTTTCTCCCCATGAGCTCAGGAGCTTCCTGCCAGGAGCTTCCCAAGGGCTGCTTCCCACATAGTTTGCCGGTAACTCTTGTCCCCTTATGCTTGCTCCAAGCGAGGGTTACAGGTGCAGGGTCGGCAAGACACCCCTGCCAGGAAATCCACCCCTTTTTCTGAGTGCCACTCTGCCCACTCCTCCCACTGGTTCCCAAGCCAGGGGCTTCCATCCCCCTCCCTCTTTTCCTCCCCTCCCCTTCCCTCTCTTCCCTCCCCCACTCCCTCCCCTTCCCTTCCCCTCCACTCTCCGCCCTCCCCACCCCTCTTCCTGCTGCTCCTCCTCCTCCTCCTCACTCTTGTTCCTCCTTCTCCTGCTCTAGGTTTTCTGGGCCCTTTGTCTGTCTCCAATAATGACAGCTGGTTTCAGGGATTTCCTCATTTATTTGAAGTTGATTAAATAGCAATTAATGGTGGAAAGCTACACTTGATGAGTTTTAATAAGCATGAGTATTTATAGATATAAAACAATACCATGCCAATGTCTCCCGATTAACTCATGCCTATAACAATGCTTAATCTTCTTTTCAGGGCCATGTGTTTATAAAGGATGTTTTGAAATTTAATTGGTTTTGTGAAAAGATAGCCTATAGCAAGTTAATTAGACACTAATTAGACCCTAAAAATACTAATCAGAAATACTAAGTGGCATTTAATAAGTATGTTAAATATCCTCTTTATTTTAGTTATCTTGTTTTATAGCAATTAAGTTGCTGAACTTCTTTGGAGTAGATGAAGAAACAAGCTTAATGTTTTAATTTAATTTAATTAATGTAAATTTGAATTAATTATGCTGTTGGAATTAATTGTATGGTGTGTTCTTGAGTAAGTGTAAAATTTGAGTAAATATTATTTTATTGGGCTTACAACAACTACAATTTCTATCATTTAAAAAAAAAAAGAAAAAAGTCTTTACTGGTCCTTTAAAATTATTACTGGGCTCCGTGCAGCAAAATGACCCATAGGTAGCCTACAGGATCATGGGGTGTAGTTCTGAGGACTGGTAATATTGACTCATTGGTCCTACTGTTACACCCCTGAGGCTCAAGAGGGCAGCAGGGTGTGGCCTGCTGTGGCAGCTTCAGGGTACTGGATTCTGGGGTGACAAAATGGAACTATAGGACAAATAAAGTTCTCCAGGTCCCTGAAGCAGGCATCTCCCCTTAAGACATTGAAGGCCTGGGAAGGAACCTTGTAACGGAGGGCAGTGCTGCTGGTGGGGCATATGTGGGTGGGACACAGCAGGCACAGTCAGTGTGGACAGGAAGAAGGTCAATCCTGCATGGGAGCAGCTGCAGCTGAGCCCGACTCTGTTACTGTGCAACCCTGGGAAAGGCCCTTGTTCTCTCTGAGCCCCGGGAGAGGAGGGGGAGGATGCTGACTATCTTGCTGGGCCTAGAGTTGAGAGGGTAAGAAAGTGTACAGGGCTTCTAGCTACTTGAGAGACAAGAGGGAGAAATCTCTCCCTCCATCGCTTGGCCTTCACATAAGTTTACCTCAAACATGGTGGATAATTATGTAAACCACCAGCAGGTAACAGTGGGGACTTAGGGTGGGGAGCGTTGGGGTCGGGTGAAACAGAGCAGAGGGAGGATTTGGATGGGGGGGGTGGGAGCATTGTGCTATAAATGTGGATTTTTTGGGTCATGTAAACAGATTTGCTGTTTAAAAACGCAAAGTAAAAACGTCTGATAACTCAAGTGGGGACTATTTTCCAAAAGTAGTAAAATGATACACACAGTTACCTTTTGATCTAGCAATGTTATTTTCAGGAGTCTATTTCAAGGCTGTCCTTTATTTATTTATTTATTTATTTTTAAATATTTATTTATTTATTTTGTGTGTGTGTGTGTG